TCCGTAAACAGAACCAAGGTGGCACCGGGAGCGCTAGCGACGTCTGGCACTCCCTCGCCTTGCCACATAAATACGAGTTCTGCCACAGTTGCTGCATCAGTCGTCCGTCGACCGCCCAGCAGTTATGTCTGGGTCCTCCGACTGGTGAGTGTTCAACCTTGCTCCTGTTTCCATTATTTCGTTTCTTGTATTTATTTTACACCAAGAAAGATACGCTAATGTTTTCAGTTTTGCTGTTGTAGAAATATTTGAGTCCCTACAGCTCATAGTTATTCTAATTGTAAGAAATGAGTCCACTCACAGGATGGGTAATGAGTCCAAGATTGATGAACCAAGCTAAAAACTTCAAAGTCTAAGGTATGTTTCACTTTATATATGTTTCTTTCCAGGGAGGAAGACAAGCGTGGTGGGTGGGAGAGAGGCGGTATTGACCCGTCCTGCCCCCGGAGACTGGCTCGTTGGGCCCTCTCCGGGGGCAGGACACATTCCTACCTCAGTGACGCCTGGCCTCACCTTCCGACACATGGCGAGGACCTCCTGACGAAGCTGTGATGCGCCTGCTGGACCCACCAACACCTGTCCGATCTACCACACATGCTGGGGACCCACCAACACCTGTCCGGTCCACCACAAGTGCTGGGGACCCACCAACACCTGTCCGGTCCACCACAAGTGCTGGGGACCCACCAACACCTGTCCGGTCCACCACAAGTGCTGGGGACCCACCAACACCTGTCCTGGTCCACCACACATGCTGGGGACCCACCAACACCTGTCTTGGTCCACCACAAGTGCTAGGGACCCACCAACACCTGTCTTGATCCACCACTTATGCTGGGGACCCACCAACACCTGGTCCACCACAAGTGCTGGGGACCCACCAACACCTGTCTGGTCACAAGTGGGACCCACCAACAACTGTTCTGGTCTGTGCTGGACCCACAAACACCTGTCCTGGTCTACCACACATGCTGGGGACCCACCAACACCTGTCCTGGTCCACCACAAGTGCTGGGGACCCACCAACACCTGTCCGGACCACCACAAATACTGCGGAACCACCAACACCTGTCTTGATCCACCACAAGTGCTGGGGACCCACCAACACCTGTTCTGGTCTACCACAAGTGCTTGGGATCCACCAACATCTGTCCTGGTTCACAACAGTTGCAACTGGCCACCTACCAACACCTGGTCCACCAGAAGTGCAGCTGTGTCACCTGCTTACATCTGTAGTGACACACACACACACAAAACAGCGCGCCGAATCAGTAACCTTCGGGAGGTCCTGACTAACTCTGGACAACGAGAAAAGACTTTCCTAATGATGCTCACTTAGACTTTTATCTAAGAAATGTATACATACGCATTACATTACATGAATAATACACTCTTTCATTCCATGTATACACTCTTTCATTCCATGTATACACTTTTCCTATACATGCATTCACAGATGTTGTATGTATACAATGCTTCACAATAACTTTGTATGAATCGTAGATCAACTTTGTGTGACTGTAAACTTTCACTGTAAGTGAAGTTATTCATTTATGAGATTCCTGTTATAAGGAATGTAAACTTTGTCAAAGATCAACACTAATGTTTACTTCTATTTTTTTATAAATAAATGTTTTCTAATTTAATTGTGATGATAATTTACACCTAACTCCAATGGATTATACAAAAAAAGTGCCATAAGTAAACTGGAGTGTCACTTGTGGCATTAGTGTCACTTCACGGGAGCGATGGATGACATAACTCTCCTGTTTACTGTCAAATATGTTGCTTATTACTGTGTAACGGATCTCAAGGACACCCTTCCATATATTCAGTCTACCTTTCCCTCTCACCTATCTCCTTCCCTCTCCCTCTCCCTTCCCTAAGAGGTCAAGAGCTCAGCTCGCCCGCCTAAATGGCGCTGTGATAAGTCACTTGTAGTTAAACGATGAACTAATACACAAGTGGAGTTGTTAGGATTAGGTATTTTATAGGATTAAATACTACAGAGGTTAGGTATTAGTGTTTTTAGTGTTAGGCATTAGCATGTTTTGAGCAGATGCTCTTTTGTTTATAAGTATTGTAAACAGTACGTTATGTAACACATACCGGGGATTGTTGTTGCCAATACTACCAGGAAATATTTCTTATCCCTTGGTCCAGCATAATCTATATGAAGTCTAGACCAAGGCTCCCAGTGCATGGCCAGGAAAGTATTGGGAACTGGGGTTTCTGATAATTCTTAAAGCAAATGTGACAATTCTCACTTACTTCAGCAATATCCAGGTAAATTTTTGCCCACAAAACCCAACTTCTAGCTTTGGCTTTCAGAGCATTTATGCCATTATGGTCTACATGCAGCTGTTCCAAATCTTACATCTTAGTTCCTCAGGCACCACCACTCTATTCCTATACAAGAGTTCATCCTGGTGAATACTAAGGTCGATGGATTTCCAGAAGAGGACGAAAAAGCAGCAGGAATTCATACAGAATTTAAATGCAGAATTGAATGCGTTGGTTAACCATTGCAACTTTGGAGCACAGTTTGATGGCCAGGTGAGGGACCAGTTGTTCATGGCAGCAGAAAATGAGATATTTTTCCCTAATCTGGTGGCTGAAAACGTGGATCTACAATCGATAATTTCATGGACTGCGCTAGAGAAGACTTTAAACATGGAAAGGGCATTTGGAGGTAAGAAATCTACTTCTCAAGAAATTATTGTCGTACAGGGCCAGACAAGATGTAAACACTGTAGGTACAATCACAGTAGTAGCAACTGCAAGTTTAAGGACTACATATGTAAATTTTGTGACAAGGAAGGACACTAGAGGAAAGTGTGTAGAGAATACCTGAATAGGAACAGCAAGGCCTGGGAGAGGAGACGACCGGATAATCCAGGAAGAGGAGGTAAGGGTACTGTGGTCAAGGCAGTAGAGGAAGGTAAACCGTCTGAAGAAGCTGCAGGTGAGGAAAGCAGACTATATTCGGTGAAAGAAAAGGTATGTTCGGTGAAGTCACAAGTGGTGAATTTTGTAATTAATGGGAAGTTAGTTCCCTTGGAACTGGACACTGGTGCTGCAGTGTCAACATTGTCTAGAGATTGGGCAGATAATTTGCAACTGAATGTAAAACCCGGTAGAAAATCATTAAGTGCATATGATAATGTACCGATTAAGATCTATGGCAAGGTGTCGGCAAAAGTAGGGGATAATAGCAAAGAATTTATTTGGGATTTTTATGAATTGGATTCACATAATCCAAGTTTATGTGGTAAGGATCTCATGGAAAAGGTGAGAATTTTCTTGGCGGGCCTAGATGAATTGTCGATAGTTAAACAATTAAAAGTTCTGAAGACTTTTTGTGGTCTTCGGTATCATAGAGGTGGAAAAAATATTCAGTGGAGGCAGGTAAGACAATTAATAGCATGGTGGCAAAAAATCACCTGAAAGGTGGGACTCCCTGTGAAACTGGAGGTAAATGCTTCCCCAGTCAGAGTGGGTTGTGTATTATTACAGGAAGTAGATGGTCAGGATAAAGAAGTATATTTTTCTAGCAAGAAATTATCTCCTGCAGAACAGAATTATTCTCAAAAAATCCATTTAATGCTAATGCGAGAACTAAAAAATGGGCATTACTACTCTCGCATTTTGAGTATGATTTATATTTTAAGCCAGGCAAGGGTACTGCAGTAGCTGATGCATTAAGTAGATTGCCTATGACAGAAGAGTTGAACTCCAGTATTCCAGTGGAATATGTTAACCTGGTGGAATCTATGTCTTCTAAGAATATTTCATTCCAGACTATTATGAAGGCAACTAGTAGAGATTCCAAATTAAATCTGTTGATGAAATATGTCAAATATGATTGGAATGATAATTTTTCTAATGTCAGAGAATGTTGCAGTAAAGGGTGACCTTAGTACTCACCAGGATGTATAGGAATACATTCTATATATTCCATGTATAGGAATAGAGTGAAGGTTCCTGGGGAATTAAGATATAAGATTTTGGAACAGCTGCATGTAGTACGATACACCTAACCTAACCTACTTGGTCGAATGGCATAAATGCTTTGAAAGCAGAAGCTAGAAGTTGAGTTCGATGGCCAAAAATGGACAAGGATATTGCTGAGGTAACTAACAATTGTCACATTTACTTTAGGAATTTTCAGAAACCCCAGTCGCCAGTACAATCCTGGCCATGCACTGAGAAACCCCGGTCTAGACTTCATATAGATTATGCTGGACCTATGGATAACAAATATTACCTGGTGGTGGCGGATTCATACACAAAATGTCTGGATGTTCATCCATGTAATTCCACCACATCATCTGTAACTTGTGAACTGATATGGAAAAGATTTTGTAATTTTGGATTACCAGACATGGTGGTGTCAGACAATCCTCCGTATTTTGTTTCTGGGGAAATGGAGGATTATTTTTTTTAGAAAAAATGGTATTAAACATGTAACACCTGCCCCCTATAATCCTTCTTCAAATGGTCTGGCTGAGAGACCAGTAAGATCCTTGAAAGAAGGGTTAAAGCTGTTTACGGAAGGTACTATTAATACAAGGCTTTGTGGATTTTTATATAATCAAAGAAAAACTGTTCATTTTACCACTGGTAAATCTCCTTCTAAATTACTGTTTTAGAACTACTTAAACTTAAATTTAAGTTTAAGAACTTAAATTTAAGTTAAGAACTACTTAAATTACTGGTAAATGTAACTGTAGTTACATTTACATCATTAGTCAAGCATAAAACCTTGTGAAAGTTACTGAAATTAAGAGAGTTATGAGATTACTAACCAATCAAGGAAGAGCCATCAAATTCCTGTGGATCTCCTCCCATGATGGAATCTGTGGAAATGAACAAGCAGATGTGCTGGCTGCTGAAGGAGACAATATTGAATACTTCATACCCAAGACTCTTCTTCAAAGTAGAAGTATTGTCAGGCAACATCACCGTGACAAGGATACTGAGGGAAGGAGGATAGAAGGATAGAAGAACAAATCAGTGAATCTGTACGATGGTAAAATATGGTTGCTGCTGGCAGTCCCAACCATTATGGACGAAGAGGAGGTGGTCGCGGGAGAGAATCAGCAATAGCAAGAATCCGTCTTGGATACAAATATCCATGAAGATTCAGAATGGAAACAACAGTTGAACAGCGGAGTTGCAGAATCTGTGGTGAGAGTGATGGACACCGCCTTGACCACTACCTGAGAGAATGTGATTATCTAAGAGTCATTAGAAATGTGTTTTGCATAGTAAACCACACATTGAGTTAGGAAAATACTATTTGTCAAATATAAATACTGTTCTTAAAAGATTCCCCCATTTTGCACCCGCAAGACAAGGGACGAAATCCGTTATCTTAGAGTTATTTTAGGAGTTGAGAACTCTTTATCTTCTTGTTAGATAAGCTGTTCACTGAGACAGTTAAGATGTGAGGCAACACACGCCGTCAGCCCTTCATCATGGGTGATTTTGTTAATTGATTATGCACCCCATGTCTAACCCGAAGCCGGTAGTGGGCCCCTTACCCAGCAATTGGGTGGCAGTTAACCCCATACCCATCTCCCTTTAAGGGGTTACCCCTTAATAGGAGCAACCCCTTAAAGGGAGAAACCCCTTTAAAGATGTAACAACTTAAAGGAAGAAACCCCATAAAAGGGTAACCCCTTGAATGGCCTTGGTAAATAGTAAGGGGTAGAGCGACCCCTTTAGGGTCACGGTAGAACAGTCGGGTTCGTTCTTGACCCACAATCGAGAATTTCGAGTTTGAATCCCGTACGGGACAGAAATGGTTGGGCGCATTTCCTATCACCTAATATCTCTGTTCACCTATTAATAGGTACCCAGGAGTTAGTCAACTTGTTGTGGGGGTTGCATCCTCGAGGAGGGGGGGGGGGGTAGGTCAGTAGTTCAACCCTGGTTGGTAATTCGATATAAGCCTAACTTCCATTGTATGCATATGCTGGCTGCCTGTCCCCTATTATAATGAATTATACCCAACACGTGCGCAATAGTAGATCCCATACCCATCACGTGCGCAATAGTGGATCCCATACCCATCACGTGCGCAATAGTAGATCCCATACCCAACACGTGCGCAATAGTAGATCCCATACCCATCACGTGCGCAATAGTAGATCCCATACCCATCACGTGCGCAATAGTGGATCCCATACCCATCACGTGCGCAATAGTGGATCCCATACCCATCACGTGCGCAATAGTAGATCCCATACCCATCACGTGCGCAATAGTGGATCCCATACCCATCACGTGCGCAATAGTAGATCCCATACCCAACACGTGCGCAATAGTGGATCCCATACCCATCACGTGCGCAATAGTAGATCCCATACCCAACACGTGCGCAATAGTAGATCCCATACCCATCACGTGCGCAATAGTGGATCCCATACCCATCACGTGCGCAATAGTGGATCCCATACCCATCACGTGCGCAATAGTAGATCCCATACCCAACACGTGCGCAATAGTAGATCCCATACCCATCACGTGCGCAATAGTGGATCCCATACCCAACACGTGCGCAATAGTAGATCCCATACCCATCACGTGCGCAATAGTGGATCCCATACCCAACACGTGCGCAATAGTGGATCCCATACCCAACACGTGCGCAATAGTGGATCCCATACCCAACACGTGCGCAATAGTGGATCCCATACCCATCACGTGCGCAATAGTAGATCCCATACCCAACACGTGCGCAATAGTAGATCCCATACCCAACACGTGCGCAATAGTAGATCCCATACCCATCACGTGCGCAATAGTAGATCCCATACCCATCACGTGCGCAATAGTAGATCCCATACCCATCACGTGCGCAATAGTAGATCCCATACCCATCACGTGCGCAATAGTGGATCCCATACCCATCACGTGCGCAATAGTAGATCCCATACCCATCTTGTAGGCGATAGTAGACTGTATACCCATCCCGTGGGCGGTAGTGGATCCCATACCCATCCCGTGGTCGGTAGTCGAATAGGTTACAGAGGAACATATTGGGCTTTGGAACTGAGCCCCCCAAAAATAATTGTGCTAAGCAAGTAACAATCTTGATAAGGTAGTTACTTAGTTTAAAGTATATATAACTATTCTTTGATAGCATAATTGGTTTAAGAACTGGACCTCAACAGACTCTATATCAGGCTGCGAGCAGCCGCGTCTAACAGCCTGGTTGATCAGTCCAGCAACCTGAAGGCCTGGTCGACGACCGAGCCGCGGGGACACTAAGCCCCGGAAGCACCTCAAGGTAGCCTCAAGGTAGCCTATACCGAGCAATTAACATCTGTGATGACCCAGTTACATATGTAATAATCATACATACCACACCCATAATATGGAGGCGCTGGAAAGTTCACAAACATATATGCATTACCCACAGCAGAGTAAGCAATCTTTGGATGTATGGTTAAGACTTATGGCGGTACTTGAATACAATACTTACACATTTCTCTACATATTAATATAACTATCTCTGAATTCTGAAATTTGTTCACATTAAATTCCATGGTGACGCAAGTGCCTTTTAAGGTGATGACTTCAAGTATGTAAATAGTTCTCCTGGCAGTGGAAATATAGTCAGCTCTACATCAGCAGGTGGAGCAGACTCCTGGAGGTACATCAGCAGGTGGAGCAGACTACTGGAGGTACATCAGCAGGTGGAGCAGACTCCTGGAGGTACATCAGCAGGTGGAGCAGACTCCTGGAGGTACATCAGCAGGTGGAGCAGACTACTGGAGGTACATCAGCAGGTGGAGCAGACTCCTGGAGGTACATCAGCAGGAGGTGCAGACTCCTGGAGGTACATCAGCAGGTGGAGCAGACTCCTGGAGGTACATCAGCAGGTGGAGCAGACTCCTGGAGGTACATCAGCAGGTGGAGCAGACTCCTGGAGGTACATCAGCAGGTGGTGCAGACTCCTGGAGGTACATCAGCAGGTGGAGCAGACTCCTGGAGGTACATCAGCAGGTGGTGCAGACTCCTGGAGGTACATCAGCAGGTGGAGCAGACTCCTGGAGGTACATCAGCAGGTGGTGTAGACTCCTGGAGGTACATCAGCAGGTGGAGCAGACTCCTGGAGGTACATCAGCAGGTGGTGCAGACTCCTGGAGGTACATCAGCAGGTGGAGCAGACTCCTGGAGGTACATCAGCAGGTGGAGCAGACTCCTGGAGGTACATCAGCAGGTGGTGCAGACTCCTGGAGGTACATCAGCAGGTGGTGCAGACTCCTGGAGGTACATCAGCAGGTGGAGCAGACTCCTGGAGGTACATCAGCAGGTGGAGCAGACTCCTGGAGGTACATCAGCAGGTGGTGCAGACTCCTGGAGGTACATCAGCAGGTGGTGCAGACTCCTGGAGGTACATCAGCAGGAGGTGTAGACTCCTGGAGGTACATCACCAGGTGGAGTAGACTCCTGGAGGTACATCAGCAGGTGGAGCAGACTCCTGGAGGTACATCAGCAGGTGGAGCAGACTCCTGGAGGTACATCAGCAGGTGGAGCAGACTCCTGGAGGTACATCAGCAGGTGGAGCAGACTCCTGGAGGTACATCAGCAGGTGGAGCAGACTACTGGAGGTACATCAGCAGGTGGAGCAGACTCCTGGAGGTACATCAGCAGGAGGTGCAGACTCCTGGAGGTACATCAGCAGGTGGAGCAGACTCCTGGAGGTACATCAGCAGGTGGAGCAGACTCCTGGAGGTACATCAGCAGGTGGAGCAGACTCCTGGAGGTACATCAGCAGGTGGTGCAGACTCCTGGAGGTACATCAGCAGGTGGAGCAGACTCCTGGAGGTACATCAGCAGGTGGTGTAGACTCCTGGAGGTACATCAGCAGGTGGAGCAGACTCCTGGAGGTACATCAGCAGGTGGTGTAGACTCCTGGAGGTACATCAGCAGGTGGTGCAGACTCCTGTAGGTACATCAGCAGGTGGTGCAGACTCCTGGAGGTACATCAGCAGGTGGTGCAGACTCCTGGAGGTACATCAGCAGGTGGAGCAGACTCCTGGAGGTACATCAGCAGGTGGAGCAGACTCCTGGAGGTACATCAGCAGGTGGAGCAGACTCCTGGAGGTACATCAGCAGGTGGTGCAGACTCCTGGAGGTACATCAGCAGGTGGTGCAGACTCCTGGAGGTACATCAGCAGGTGGAGCAGACTCCTTGTCGGAAAATCCGACACCATTTAATAATCATACAGATAATAGATGTATTGTATAAACAAGTTACCCATAGAAAACGTAACTTGTAGTGGAATTACCGTCTATAGAAAACGGGATATCATCACCACATACTATTATAATTCACCAGCTATTCTGCTGGGAATTGTTCTTAAATACATTAGTCTTTGGACTTTACCATCATAAAACATCTTATATAAATTAATTTAATTATCAATATTAAAGTAGAGTAAATGTGACCCTTCTATCACTTTCTGACATGTGGACAAAGTAGGCCAGGCGTCAGGGAGGAAGGAGAGAGCCATTGTTGTGTCACCTCCGAGACGTGTGGAGCAAATTCGGCTCCTATCATTCTGGACAATGTCGGCCAGTAACGTCAATAGTATGGAGTGTTAAACAGCCATTGTTTATAACGAGACCAGAGGCTCACACGGGAGCAAATTCGGCTCCTGTTAATTTTACTTGGACGTAGTGTTATGGAAACCAAAGGTACCATCTCCAACACGATGTCTACAATTCAAGTTAAGTGTTCTTTCCGAAACCCGTTTATCATTCATTTATGGCCATTAATGTCAGGATATAGGGTGACCCGGTTAGATCACGTGGAAGCCTCAAACTAAAGGTAATTAAGCCAGGTCTTTAATGTTCCATGTACAGTTTTCTCTGATATAGCTTGTCATATATAGTATCTGGCTTCACAGCTAGCGCACTTTTGACAGGTCAAGACGAGGATGGAAGATTTGTGCACCAGTTACTGGGTGATATGGAAGCTACCTCAAAGAGGATAATTTGGTGTCTACACCCTAGTTATACCTGGTGGACTAACCTGCTGTACTATAAGATAAGGAACCTCTTCAATGTATGTAGTTAATTCTGTAGTTTGATTGGCTGCATATATATAAACTAATAAACCCCCCCTAATGTGTAGAGGATCGATTTGTGAGATTATGAGATTATTGCAGAAATACAGTCCACTTATCATTATACAAATTGCTATCGAAGTATATAAATTAACGTAAATATAAATTCATATAAATTAAATAAATATAAATCTCACAGGTCGGTTCCCACACTCCTGGAGGTACATCAGCAGGTGGAGCAGACTCCTGGAGGTACATCAGCAGGTGGTGCAGACTCCTGGAGGTACATCAGCAGGTGGTGCAGACTCCTGGAGGTACATCAGCAGGAGGTGTAGACTCCTGGAGGTACATCAGCAGGTGGTGCAGACTCCTGGAGGTACATCAGCAGGTGGAGCAGACTCCTGGAGGTACATCAGCAGGTGGTGCAGACTCCTGGAGGTACATCAGCAGGTGGAGCAGACTCCTGGAGGTACATCAGCAGGTGGAGCAGACTCCTGGAGGTACATCAGCAGGTGGAGCAGACTCCTGGAGGCACTTGTAGCCGAGCCTGAGCCTGGCAGTGGTAACATCTAGTTATCATGATAATAGACGTGCGGTTCTTCCTAGTTTGTTGCAGTTCCCAGTATACGGCTGCCCGCGTCAGGCTGTGTGGCTCTGTCGTCAGGAATGCAGCTCATGATGTGCGTCAAGAACTGCATTGTTGAGTCCCATGGCAACGATACGCTGTGGTGACGTCACAACTCTGAGGTCAGTCACCTGGCAACCGAAGGAAGTAGTGACGTCACAAGTACACGCAACACACACACACACGCACGCACACTCTTGCACCACCTGGGGAAAACACCTCAACGGGACCTAAAATAATCCATTTCTTTCGTTAATCTTAATTAATCTTCATAAATACTTTAAGTTATGGCAGTGAGTAATGCCATGACTATGGTTAACTATGGTAAAAATAATCAGGTTCCGTAAACAGAACCAAGGTGGCACCGGGAGCGCTAGCGACGTCTGGCACTCCCTCGCCTTGCCACATAAATACGAGTTCTGCCACAGTTGCTGCATCAGTCCTCCGTCGACCGCCCAGCAGTTATGTCTGGGTCCTCCGACTGGTGAGTGTTCAACCTTGCTCTTGTTTCCATTATTTAGTTCCTTGTATTTATTTTACACCAAGAAAGAAAATCTAATGTTTTCAGTTTTGCTGTTGTAGAAATATTTGAGTCCCTACAGCTCATAGTTATTCTAATTGTAAGAAATGAGTCCACTCACAGGATGGGTAATGAGTCCAAGATTGATGAACCAAGCTAAAAACTTCAAAGTCTAAGGTATGTTTCACTTTATATATGTTTCTTTCCAGGGAGGAAGACAAGCGTGGTGGGTGGGAGAGAGGCGGTATTGACCCGTCCTGCCCCCGGAGACTGGCTCGTTGGGCCCTCGCCGGGGGCAGGACACATTCCTACCTCAGTGACGCCTGACCTCACCTTCCGACACATGGCGAGGACCTCCTGACGAAGCTGTGATGCGCCTGCTGGACCCACCAACACCTGTCCGGTCCACCACAAGTGCTGGGGACCCACCAACACCTGTCCGGTCCACCACAAGTGCTGGGGACCCACCAACACCTGTCCGGTCCACCACAAGTGCTGGGGACCCACCAACACCTGTCCGGTCCACCACAAGTGCTGGGACCCACCAACACCTGTCCGGTCCACCACAAGTACTGCGGAACCACCAACACCTGTTCTGGTCCACCACAAGTGCTGCAGAACCACCAACACCTGCCTGATCCATCACACATGCTGGGGACCCACCGACACCTGTTCTGGTCTATCACAAGTACTTGGGACCCACCAACACCTGTTCTGGTCTACCACAAGTGCTGGGGGACCCACTAACACCTTTCCTGGTTCACAACAGTTGCAACTGGGCCACCTACCAACACCTGGTCCACCAGAAGTGCAGCTGTGTCACCTGCTAACATCTGTAGTGACATACACACACACAAATCAGCGCGCCGAATCAGTAACCTTCGGGAGGTCCTGACTAACTCTGGACAACGAGAAAAGACTTTCCTAATGATGCTCACTTAGACTTATATCTAAGAAATGTATACATACGCAATTGCATTACATGAATAATTGTTTTATTACATGTATACACTTTTTCATTTCATGTATACACTCTTTCATTCCATGTATACAATTATCCTATACATACATTCACAGATTTTGTATGTATACAATGCTTCACAATAACTTTGTATGGATCGTAGATCAACTTTGTGTGACTGTAAACTTTCACTGTAAGTGAAGTTATTCATTTATGAGATTCCTGTTATAAGGAATGTAAACTTTGTCAAAGATCAACACTAATGTTTACTTCTATATTTTTTGTCATAAATAAAAGTTTTCTAATATTTTTGTGATAATAATTCACATCTAACTTTAATAGATTATACTAAAAAAGTGCCATAAGTTAACTGGAGTGTCACTTCACGGGAGCGATGGATGACATAACTCTCCTGTTTTCTATCAAATATGTTGCTTATTACTGTGTAATGGATCTCAAGGACACCCTTCCATATATTCTATCTACCGTTCTATGTTTCTTTCTTTCCTATCTCTTCGCTAAGTATCTGATCATGTATGTTGGATACACATGTGAGCGTAAAAATAGTGAAATAAATCATATGAGCACCTTGTGTAAAGACCGACTACATCCTCTAAAAGTGTTAGCATTTTCGCAGGTGTTGGGGTACCTATCTTGCGGATGTTATACATCAGCACTGTTCGGTCCCTGATAGACTACGCAACACCCGTTTTGTCTTACACAGTGCAAGGCAGAATTAAAAAAAAAAGTTAAATCTGCCTTGCACTTGCCTCAAAAAACTTGAGTTGGCACAGACCGAAGCCATGAGGATTGTTCTTGGATGTCAAAGAAATGCAATGATTGAAATAATGAGAATGGAATAAAACTTACTGAGTGTGTGTGATAGAGTCCTTGACATTAACACTAGAGTACCAATCTGCTTCACGAGTAGAGGATGAAGGGTTAAGCTGTTTCACAGCGTTTAGAACTGCTAGAGTAACGTACACACTCCCAGGAAACTGAGAGAGACACATGCTACACGAGGGGATTAGCTAATGGCCTCAGGGAATACGATGTATTTGACTGTTACAAACCCTCTCGACAGTGTAATAGGTCTGCTCCCTGGAAAGCACAGAAAATAAAAGTCGAAACCGTACCCCTTAAGGTTAAAAAGATTCAACATGAACTGGGACAAATACGGTGTTTGTATGGAAGCACGATATCTCGGTTATCAAGAGATATCAAGTTTACATGTATATTGTGACGGGTCGGTGGCGGAGGATGGCAGGGCAGGATGTGGTGTCCTAATAAGGGAATACACTGAGTTTGGAGCTGAGGACAGGACAATTGAACTTCGACTTAGTAATTATATATCATCCACACCAGCTGACCTGCTGGCCATTCTGGCGTGTTTGGAGGAAGCACGTCACGACGAAAAAGATGTTTTAGTATTTGTCGATAGCCGAGGAGCACTTTGTTCCTTAAACAGCTCGGTATCCAATCTTCATGTCCATAGATGAGGATTGTAAGAAAGGAATAAATGAGATACAGCTGAAAGGTCACAAAGTGAAGTTCATATGGATTCCCGGTCTCTGACCAGGCCTCCTGGTTGCTGGTCTGATCAACCAGGCTGTTGGATGCGACTGCTCGTAGCCTGGCATACGAGTCACAGTCTGGTTGATCAGGTATCCTCTGAAAGTGATTAAGTTCTCTTCAACACACTACAAGAGGTCGGACAGCTATGCCCCGAATGTGTAGGGGAAGAGTGTAGAAGAGTTTTGTGCCTTTGGTGTTGATTGAGTTCTCTCTCAACATCATGTTCTGAGAGAACAACAGCCTCTGTTGTTCTGAGAGAACAACAGCCTCTGTTGTTCTGAGAGAACAACAGCCTCTGTTGATCTGAGCGCCTATTTTGCACCTCCATACTTTCTGGTCTCATATGGTTCCATTTCTGTGGAGGTTTGGAACCAATCCTTCTAATATTTGCCAAGGTTAAATTATTATACTGTATATCTGACACGCCTGAGCTCTAGAGAATACACATTTTGACATTTTAATCGCTCCCAATAATATAGATGTTTTATTGAGTGGATTCTAGCAATAAAATATCTTTTCACACTCTTCAGGTCAGCAATTTATCCAACCTTGAATGGGGCTGTTAGTGTGCAACAATATACCACTCTAGAGAACACTGAAGTCTTAAAAAATTAATCATTGGTACGGCATCTCTTGTTTGAAAGGTTCTTCTTATCTAACCTGTCATTTTTCTTGCAGTTCTGACGGCTACTTTATTGTGTTCTTTCAAGGTAAGGTCTTCTGAATACACCCAAATCTTTTACATTGCTTTTCCTATCAATAGTATGATTTGACTGTGTTTTATATGTGGTTTCTGCTTTGATGTTTTCGTTTTTTTCTATAGTGTAGTAATTGGAACTTATCCTCATTAAACATCATGTTATTTTCAGTGGCCCTTTGAAAGACGTCATTAACATCAGATTGGAGGTTTGCTGTGTCCTCTATATTGTCTACTCTCATAAAAATCCTAGTGTCATCTGCAAAGGATGACACAGTACTATAAGTTGTGTCCTTGTCTATATCTGATATGAGGATGAGGAAAAGTACTGGAGCAAGCACAGTACCCTGGGGGACTGAACTGGAGCAAGCACAGTACCCTGGGGGACTGAACTGGAGCAAGCACAGTACCCTGGGGGACTGAGCTGGAGCAAGCACAGTACCCTGGGGGACTGACCGGTTGATGGTCCGGAAGTTACTGTGTTGACTATTACACTCTGGGTTCTATTTGTTGGGAAGTTGAAGATCGATCTCCCTACATTGCCAGTAATTCCTTTTGCACGTCTTTTATGTGCAATAACATCATGGCCACATTTGTCGAAAGTTTTTGCAAAGTCTGTGTATATTACATCCGCATTTTTTGTTTTCCATGGCACCTAATGCCATGTTATAGTGGTCCAGCAACTGTGAGAGGCAGGAGCGCTGTGTTCTGAACCCGTGATGTCTTGGGTTATGTAGACACTGTGATACCATGTGTTTTGTGATCTTACTTCTTAGAACTCTTTCAAAGGTGTTTATGATGAGTGAAGTTAGAGCTATTGGTCTAACTTCACTCATCTAACAAAAACTAACAAGTTTTTGCATCAGCTTTATTACCTCCTTTGTGAAGTGGCGCGATCTCTGCTGTTTTAAGTATGTCAGGGATGACACCGGTAACTAGACTCCGTCTCCAAAAGATGTTTAAGGCCTGTGATGGTGTTTTATGCAATTCTTGACGAATAAAGAATTCCAGGTGTCAGAGCCTGGTGCAGCGTGCAGGGTGCAGCGTGCAGCGTGCAGGGTGCAGGGTGCAGCGTGCAGGGTGCAGGGTGCAGGGTGCAGGGTGCAGCGTGCAGGGTGCAGGGTGCAGGGTGCAGGGTGCAGGGTGCAGCGTGCAGGGTGCAGCGTGCAGGGTGCAGGGTGCAGCGTGCAGGGTGCAGGGTGCAGCGTGCAGGGTGCAGCGTGCAGCGTGCAGGGTGCAGGGTGCAGGGTGCAGCGTGCAGGGTGCAGGGTGCAGCGTGCAGCGTGCAGGGTGCAGCGTGCAGGGTGCAGGGTGCAGCGTGCAGGGTGCAGCGTGCAGGGTGCAGCGTGCAGGGTGCAGGGTGCAGGGTGCAGCGTGCAGGGTGCAGCGTGCAGCGTGCAGGGTGCAGGGTGCAGCGTGCAGCGTGCAGGGTGCAGCGTGCAGCGTGTAGGGTGCAGCGTGCAGGGTGCAGCGTGCAGCGTGCAGGGTGCAGCGTGCAGCGTGCAGGGTGCAGCGTGCAGGGTGCAGGGTGCAGCGTGCAGGGTGCAGGGTGCAGGGTGCAGGGTGCAGGGTGCAGGGTGCAGGGTGCAGGGTGCAGGGTGCAGCGTGCAGGGTGCAGGGTGCAGGGTGCAGGGTGCAGCGTGCAGGGTGCAGGGTGCAGCGTGCAGGGTGCAGGGTGCAGCGTGCAGGGTGCGTGCAGCGTGCAGGTGCAGCGTGCAGGGTGCAGGGTGCAGGGTGCAGGGTGCAGGGTGCAGCGTGCAGGGTGCAGGGTGCAGCGTGCAGGGTGCAGCGTGCAGCGTGCAGGTGCAGGGTGTAGGGTGCAGGGTGCAGGGTGCAGGGTGCAGGGTGCAGGGTGCAGGGTGCAGGGTGCAGGGTGCAGGGTGCAGGGTGCAGGGTGCAGGGTGCAGGGTGCAGGGTGCAGGGTGCAGGGTGCAGGGTGCAGGGTGTAGGGTGCAGGGTGCAGGGTGCAGGGTGCAGGGTGCAGGGTGCAGCGTGCAGGGTGCAGGGTGCAGGGTGCAGGTGCAGGGTGCAGCGTGCAGGGTGCAGGGTGCAGGGTGCAGGGTGCAGGGTGCAGGGTGCAGGGTGCAGGGTGCAGGGTGCAGGGTGCAGGGTGCAGCGTGCAGGGTGCAGGGTGCAGGGTGCAGGGTGCAGGGTGCAGGGTGCAGGGTGCAGGGTGCAGGGTGCAGGGTGCAGGGTGCAGGGTGCAGGGTGCAGGGTGCAGGGTGCAGGGTGCAGGGTGCAGGGTGCAGGGTGCAGGGTGCAGGGGCACTAGGTGCAGGGTGCAGGGTGCAGGGTGCAGGGTGCAGGGTGCAGGGTGCAGGGTGCAGGGTGCAGGGTGCAGGGTGCAGGGTGCAGGGTGCAGGGTGCAGGGTGCAGGGTGCAGGGTGCAGGGTGCAGGGTGCAGGGTGCAGGGTGCAGGGTGCAGGGTGCAGGGTGCAGGGTGCAGGGTGCAGGGTGCAGGGTGCAGGGTGCAGGGTGCAGGGTGCAGGGTGCAGGGTGCACTAGGTGCAGGGTGCAGGGTGCAGGGTGCAGGGTGCAGGGTGCAGGGTGCAGGGTGCAGCGTGCAGGGTGCAGGGTGCAGGGTGCAGGGTGCAGGGTGCAGGGTGCAGGGTGCAGGGTGCAGGGTGCAGGGTGCAGGGTGCAAGGTGCAGGGTGCAGTGTAGGGTGCAGGGTGCAGGGTGCAGGGTGCAGCGTGCAGGGTGCAGGGTGCAGGGTGCAGGGTGCAGGGTGCAGGGTGCAGGGTGCAGGGTGCAGGGTGCAGGGTGCAGGGTGCAGGGTGCAGGGTGCAGGGTGCAGGGTGCAGGTGCAGGGTGCAGGGTGCAGGGTGCAGGGTGCAGGGTGCAGGGTGCAGGGTGTAGGGTGCAGGGTGCAGGGTGCAGGGTGCAGGGTGCAGGGTGCAGGGTGCAGGGTGCAGCGTGCAGGGTGCAGGGTGCAGGGTGTAGGGTGCAGGGTGCAGGGTGCAGGGTGCAGGGTGCAGGGTGCAGGGTGCAGGTGCAGGGTGCAGGGTGCAGGGTGCAGGTGTGCAGGGTGCAGGGTG